GCCCGACAGGGCGTTCTTGGCCAGCTCCTCCAACTTCTCCCACGCTGTTGTGTGTGAGATACATGCGGGGCACAGTGGGCCAGCTGCTGCACACGACGCCGGCGGTCGGTCGGCATGTAGGCGGAGGACAACGCAGCCGAGCCCATCTGCAGATAGTGACGCAACGACTCCGCAGTCTTCCACTACCGAACGTACTGCAGCAGGCCAAATCTCTGGAACGCGCGGAAGGGTTGGATGGCCCCCCTCGCGCAGCGAGCCTAACGTGCACGGAGTCGCCGATGCCGACGAGCGCTTTGAGGTTGATGTACCTCCGAGTCCCTCAAAGCTGGCCTGGGCAGAGGCTCGCCGTTGGAGGCAGGGACCCGAACACCCGTGTGATCAGGTTCAGCAGAGCTGGATCATCAATCGAGACGCTCTGGAGCTTCGGCCCTCGGTCTGACGTCTTTGCCGAAAGCAATACGTCGCCGCCGAAGTCCCCCGGCAAGGCCACATGCTGCATCAGGACGGCCGCGATTTCGCCGGGCCGCAACAGCAGATAAAAAACGAGAAAGAGACAGGCCGCTATTCTGCCCCAGTCCTAAGTCCGGGCAGCCACGGCCAACGCCAGGAGCACCTCGACCGGCGCGGGCGTCCGCATCTCGACTGGCTCGAACTTGCGCCAGCGAGCCACCGCGGCCCAGGCAGGCCGCAACTGGCCCCGAGCTGCGGCCACCTGAACTGGACGCCGACGAGGGCCTCCGATCCCCGAGAGCAGGGTGCCTTGTCGTCGTAGAGATACCGCGCGTCGGCAGCGAGGGAGGATTTCAAAGCCCGACGCCGCGAACGAGATCGCCAGGGCGCGTGAAACCCCGCGCCGAAGCCAGACGGACCACTCATCAAGCATATTGACATACTTGCGGGCCGGGCTGGGCCCGACATCGATGCGAAGGTAGGTCCCCGCCAGGAAGCGAGGCTGCACGTCGCGAGAGCGCCCCTCTCAGCTCGGGCGGGCCGTCGCCCGGGAACCCCAGCCAGCAGCAGAAGATGGCGAGGAGCGCCAGCAGCGCGGCGATCGGCAGCAGAAGCCGAGCTCCCTGGCAACGACCGCTCCGCACAACTCACCGGGGCACTCCGATGCCACATCGGCCTGGCGTCGCCATGCCCCGCCGTCGCACTCGATGCCACCCTCGAGGACAGAATGCCTGCGAAAACGGTCGCGCCTCCACCGTCTGCCCCGCACGCACCTGTCCCATCACGCGCTCGCAGAGCGGCCACGCGCCCATGTGTTCCTGGAGCTCGGGCAGCGCCCACTGCAAGGACGGCCGCGGATGCCCCCAGGCCTACAGCGCGCCGATTCGGCCGAAGGCCCTCACCAGCGCAAGACCCGCCTCCACGCACCCGTTGCCGAGGATCTCCTCGGCGTGGAGCCGCAGCCTCCACGGCCGCTGGCGCGCCCGAGAAGACGCGAGCACAGGTTCACGAAGCGAGAGAAAGTCCCGCAGTAAGGCCCGAGCGCACGTTCCGCCGGCTCGAGCGTCCGGATGAGCTCGACCCCCCGCGCGAGCACGATGGGGTCGACGAGGTCCCCGAGCGGCCCCCGCGGCGCGTCGCGGCCACGCCCGACCCACCGGAGAAGCCCCGGGGCATCACTCACGGGCGACCTCGGGCTACTGAAGGCATCGGGGAAGACGGGCGGCAGCTGACCAGTCACTGAGCGGCGCGCCTGCACGGCCCAGCTCCAGAGTGCCTGCGCGGCGGCGATGACACTCAACAACCTCTGGCGGGCGCGGCGCATATCAGCTCCTCGCGTTGACTGATCCGCAGGTTCGAAAGCGCCGCGCGCCCACATGAAGAGGAGGGAGCACCCTGTGAACACCAAAAACGGGAGAGTCATAGCCAACATTTCCTTCAGGAGCCCGGTGGAGGAACGCCCCAGGACAGCAACGTCATGCGCGACTTGGGTGTCGATGAGAGCTGGAACTCGCCAACCATGCACTCTGGGGCCCTTGGCCGCACGCTTGACCAGTGACACACTCTAGGGCGACGGCTTCCTGCGCGTTGATGCGGCGACGTCACGAGGGCCTACAGCAAAGCAGAATTGTGAGCTGCTTGGAGCCATTCCACGCGCGCAAGCGTGGCTCGCCACGGAACCCCCCAGCCAGGGACCTCCAGGGCCTCACCGGGAACTGGGGGCCCAAAGAGTTTTACCCCCCCAGCGCCTGTTCGCCGAAGAGCTCGAGCCCAAAGCCAGACGGCCTCCACCACGTCGATAGGCGCCGACGCGACCCCGCCGACGCAGGGGGCGGCATCGGGGGCGAAGACCGGCTCGGCCATCGTCGGGTCGAGCGAGCTCCTGAACAGCGGGAACAAGCTGACCAAGCTGATCAGCTCGTCAATCACCCCGTTCGGAAGCCGTCGCCAGGCCGTAGGATCCACTACGGGCATGTAGAGCCACGCGTAGAGCTCGTCCACGAGACACATGGCCTCTCTGCGAAACATCAGACGGCCCCCTCATGAGCGCGACCGAGGCAGCGCCAACCAGCATGACGCGCGCGGACGCCCAGCCTCTCGGACGACAGCTCGCCGCCCCAGACGACTCCATTCGCCTGGTCAAAGCTAGAATTTCCCGGCCCCCTCTCGATGCCCACCTGGCCGCGCGCCCGGCGCCCTCGCCAGATGCGCCGAAGGGCGGCCCGTCGAACGCGGCCGCCCCCATCGCGGCCGTCGCGCAGACCAACGACGACACGGTCGTCCGAGCAGGCCCCCTCGACGACCCGATCCGAAGGAGTGGCCCGCCCATGAGTCAGCCAGCCCTCGTCGCGAAAGCAGCCGCAGGCTGGCAGGCAGTGCCGGCGGGCGAGCTGGGCCGCCTCGGACGCCCCCTGGCCCCCCATGGCCGAGGCAGCCAGGGCCAGCGCGATCTCGTCACGGCTACGCTGGCGGCGGCCCCCTGCTCCAGCAGCTCATTCGCCCCCAGCCCGAAGCCGATGGCGGTCTCGAGAACGCGGGCGTCGGGCCACCGCAAGAAAGAGAAGAAGTCCTCGGCGTCATCGGTGGACATGGACAGGAACCCGCCCCGCGAGAGGAGCAGCCCCGCAAACTGCGCGGCACGCGACAGGGTTGCCAGCCGCTCGAGGTAGCCGCACCTGCTGCTGAAGATGTCGGCGTCGCAGGCGCACTCCCAGAGCACCTCTCCCAGGGTCATCTCCAGGGCGTTGCGCCGCCGCCCGTCGACGACGGCCCCCAACCTGCGATCGCCCTCCTTCTCTACCCTGGAGCCCAGCACGGACTGGAATGGAAGGCCACCGCGGCTCCGAAGGCCACCCAGCCTCGCGAGCCGCGGGAGGCGCGCGCCCCAGACGCGCGCGGCCACAGCACCCCAGCGGCCCAAGCGCGCACGGGGGGCAGCTGGCTAGGGGGGCGGCTCGGCTCGAAGTCGAAGGCAGCAAGATCGACGCCCCCTCGGATGGGATGCCGAGCGCGGCCGCTGAGAGAGGGGGGGGGCGACGAAGCGAGCGTCGCCTCCCGGGCACGAATCGCCCACAGGCCTTGTCGCGGCCCCATGGATGCCAGCGACGCCGCCAGTCATGAGTGCCACTGGCTCTTCGACGCGGCAGCAACCAGACAGTTTGCCATCGAGCCCGCGCACCAGCTGCCTTTGCCTCTCGCTCCAAGATGCCTCGAGGCAGGACGCGGCGGCCCCGCCAGCGGGAAGCCCGAGCGAGCGCCAGGAGAGGCAGGCGACGGCCACGTTGACCCAGCGCCGCGCCATCTCTCTCGAAGCCACCGCGCGCGTCTTTGCGGCGCAGCTCCACTCGCGAGCAAATCGCAGGGAAGCCCGCGCGGAATGAGCAGCTCTGGACAAGGCTCGGGGGCACACCGCCCCGCCGGGGTGGGCGCGTAGACCTCCGCCTCGAGGGAGGCGCAGAACGGGGTCGGCAGGCCGCTGCCAGAATGCGCAGATCGCTGAGTCCACGGTGGCCCGCGAAGGTGGAGCCGTAGAGGTAGACGAAGAAGGCCCGACTCCCGCACTGCCCCCCTCTGCACCCCCATCAGCTGTCGGACCCACCCCGGGGTGATCGCTCGCCTCCCGCGCCGCCGCCGCCGCCCTCCTGATCCTCTTGAGTTTCTCGTCCCAGACGCGGTCCTCGTTGTCCCTCCCGCCTTCGTCGCCCCCCTTCCTGAAGGCGTTCTCAAGCGCCTCGATCTCACGCGCGCTGGCAACCGAGGCAGCGAACTCGGCGGGGCGCGCCAGGCCTCTCTCTGCCCTCCCGCCCAGGGGCGCGGACCGGGGAGACCCGTCATCAGCCGCGCCGACCTACGGGAGGCGTTCGAGTCCGCCGACTGCCGGGCGGCCCCCAGATGCTGGCCGACGCGGGCCCCGAGGAGGTCGCATTGCTGAGACCTGCGGAGCGCGAGCAGGGACGCCGGGATCTCCCAGAACCGCTCGCGGTCCTCGAGGCGCCCGAACCCCGCCCTCTGCCTGCCGCAGAGCGTCATACTCCACGACGACCCCGCGGCATCGCAGCCGAGCTCGGCGAAGGCCTGGGCGTCGACGTGGACCGACCACTTCGGGGGCTTGCGCTCGATGGCCTCGTCGAGCGCCAGGAAGTCCACGGCCCCATTCGCCCCGTTACTCTTCGCCGCGGGATCTGCTTCGCGGGCGCCCGAGGCGGCATCGCCGTAGAGTAGGTCGCCCGGGGGTCTCTCGTCGCCCTTTGCCTTCCTGGGGCTGCCTACACTCTCCAGCGCCAGCGCCATCGCCAGCGGGATGGCTCGGCCCGCGTCGCGGCCGCCTGCCTCGACGAGCGCACAAAGGTCGAGGTCGGTCTTCCGTTCTGGGGCGGCCCGCGAGACCTGCCCGCGCGGCCGCGGCCCCTCGGGCCTGCGCGGCAGCCCGCGCGCCGCGGTCAAGGCCTCCTCCGTCGCTCTGCTCAGAGCTGGCGCCCCTGGCCGCGGACCCAGCAGCTGCGCGGCCATCCTGGGCCAGCCCCTCGGCCTGTCCCGAAACGGGGCTCGGCCCGGGACAGAGGGAGCCCGGGACAGCATTCCCAGGGAGGGCCCAGGCTGGAGGAGCGACCCCTGAAAGGCGGGGGGCGCCTCGATGGGTGCCAGGCTGCAGACCTCCTCGCCCCTCCTCTCGACCTGCTCGATTATTCGAAACACCCCGCACCCCTCCTCCAATCGCGCACAGCAGCTCGTTCTGGAAACTGCCGAGGGCGGCCTGGCGGTCGCCCTTGGAGACGGCCACCCGGCGCGGCGTCGCGGCTCTCTCGGGGGCGGCGCCCCCCGGAGCCCGCATCGACCCGCGGCCGCCCCCTGCCGCCCGCCACTGGCGGGCGGGCGCGGCCAAGCCTCCCGCTTGGGCCGCTTGAGGCGACCAGCGGGAGCTCCACCTGCCGAGGCAGCAGGGCCTGCACACCGGCCATCGGCCCGCCGAATCCCGTCAGCAATCCCTCGCCCACAGCGCCGCGGACTTCCGCCATGCATGCGCCACGCGGACGACATGCCCACTCCCGCGCGGCAGCCTCGCGGGCGGCGTCGAACTCGTCGTCGCCGACGTCCTCGCCGTCGCGCTCGTCGGCGGCGAGGTACCTCCCCCCTCGACCTGGCCGTCGATACACAGCTGGAAGCCAACACGCGTCGGGTCGCCGACACCCGACGGATCGGGAAACAGGACAGGCCTCAGCAAGATGCCGACGTTCCAGTCCTCGGTCGGCGGGGCGAGGTCGGCGAGCTCGCGCAGCTCGGGCTGAGCGAAGCCACCCGCCAGGTCGAAGAACTCCACGACCTCGTCCTCCGCGAAGCTCTCGGTCATCTTGGCGGGCGAGACATTCATGCAAGCGACGTCCGTGGAAGCCTGAGCACAAGGTCACCGAGACGTAGTCCACCGACGCGAGGGGCCCTGTGATGCAAGGAAAGCGGACAGCGGGCACGATTATCAGGGGCTCCTCCAGCTCCAGGTCCCGCAGGTAGGCCTCGGCGAGGCCGTCGACAACGATAGGGGCCATCGAACTTCATAAGATTAGCGCCCACGATGCGAGCCTCGCTCCTTCCTGGGCCTCCTGTGTGTATGGGGTTGAAGTACAAGGGTACAGAACCCCTGATCTGTTGGTAGATAGAAGGAGGGATAGATGGATATCTTTCCCTCCCGCACGATCAAGGTCTGATCGATCTATCTCAATACCTGAGCCCAAACGGCCAGGCGCAGGAGAGGTAAGGATAAGGAGTATATATGAGGGTATTATGCGGGTTCCATTCACACCCCCCGTCCCGAATCCCGCCCGCGAGGGCAGGACTCGGGAACAAAGGAAGGGAATCCGCCACCCATTTACTCCTTTGGTCCTTAAGTCAGACGGCAGCTGGGCTTAAAATCAGCGAAGCCACAGCTGCAAAGTGAAGTTAGAAGGAACACCCTGGGTCCCCTTTTCTTCGCCAGGCACGCTTTGGCGCCCCCTCGGTGCGCCCCCAAAAACGCTTCGGCACTCGAGGGCGGAGAAGAATGAGACAAGGGTGGGCGGAGAAAGAAGATCTGAGCGTTAAAGCAACACGCAAACTGCCTCGCTTTTGCGAGGCAGGTGTTGCCACCAGCTATCAGATTATTCTCGACGCAACCAGGTTTAAACTGTTAAAATATGCATGCTAAGATCGTGTTGACAAACACGATCTTGAATGAAACACATCTTTGTGTAAAAGCAAATGTCTGGCCAGACAGAATGTCGCGTTGATGAACACGAAAACTCATGTGTATAAATTCTGTTTGGCGACTCCCGTTGGCGTTGCTCCTTAGGAGGCTGCCTCGGTTATCGCAAAAGGTATTTGTGTGTGGCCACTTGTGTTATATATAATGAAGTGGCCTAAAAGTATGTAATAGCCACCGCTCAAGGCGAACTTTGGTTGTATTGAAGTTCGCGCCTTGAGCGGTGGGCCTTGCGGCCGATTCACTACGCGTTGCCGTTCGTGTAGAACCTGCGGCCCCACATCCTCTGGCCGTTGTATGTCACGTAGCTCGTCGTGAATGTTTCCCAAGCCGTTCTCGGGATCCAGTTGCGAAACCAATCATTGTACGTGATGTCCTGGATGTATACGTACTCATCGTTGTTGATCGCGATGTAGATCCAACGGTTGATGTAGTAACTCCAGTACCTGAGGCCCCAGTAGCTGTCCTCGAGGTCGTCGCGCCAGTAGGCGGCGTAATCTGATGTACGCGCTCTCTTGGCACGTGGCCCCGCGGGCGTGTAGTCCGTCGCGCCTGAGGCGCTGGACGCAGCAGCATCGCCAGGAGCAGGGCGCGGCGGCGGCCGCGGATGGCGCGGCTCCATGGCATCATCGGACTGGTGGGATTGTGTATCGGGATCGGTTCTCATCCCTGTATCAACCCCCCTTTGGTCGGTATGTGACGGATCGAGGGAGCCTAACAACTCGTTGGCAATCGCGGCAAGCTTACGCTGAGTGAACTGTTCGCGGGTTCCGTCCCTTCTAGGGAGAGAAACCGTGACCAGTCCGCGAGCCTGCCGCGTCTGCCTGTCGAGGCGGCCCTCGTTCAGCCTGTCCTGTCCTAATGCTGACGTCGAGGATGTCCCACGCATCACGCATGTCCTCCACGGTCCAGGGCTTCTTGCCGATGTTCACGCGGGCACCTGTCATTTGGTGGTGGAACTTGAGGTCGTTGAGAAAGCGTTGTACGAGATTGGCGAATGGGTAGTACAGAGGTCGGTCGTCATCGGCTTCGCCCATCAGTCTGCACTCGTGTGCAGCAGGGCTACCTGATTCGACCCACTTCTGATACCTCTTTCTGGACGCATTGGCCAATCTCCGCAACTGATCTTTCTCATTGCCTGCGTGCGATCGCGCACCCGTCATAATGACGTGCGCACCGTCCTTCATGTATCTCGCGATGTGGTCCTCAGAGAGTGTCATCTTGATCCAGTTCGTCAGCTTCTGGAGGTACGCGAGATCGCTCTGTGTGGCGGTGCTCTTACCCGTGGCGACTACGGCCACGGTATACTGCCAACAGATATCACAAAGTGCGCCGTCACCTGTGACAATCCCAAGGGACAGATCTCGACCGCAATTCTGACAGAGCGGTATGGGATGCAAGATCGTCTCGGGGGCCCCTTCCGACGTGAGGTGATCGCGGGATCCCCAGCGGGTGTCCTGACCGCGAGCGAGGCTCTGGCCGATCTGATTGATGCCTCACGATTGGTCTCGGTGTTCGGTCGGGAAGCGATTGATCTACTTAAACCCTCGATCTCGATCCTAGACAATCTTTCCCCTGGCAGTCCTTTGTACTCTATCTTGGTGTTGTCCGTATCCTCGGCACCGCCATGGCATACGTTCTCTTCACGAAGACGGCGAGCTTTCTCCTGCAAGGTAGCCTCGTTGTCGCCCTCCTCGCGCTTGAGTCCCGTCTGCTCGGCTATGATACGTACCATGGTTTCCTGATCGGGAGCTGCAGACGCAACGCTGCCTGGATCCTGGGGAATATCCTGCTCAGCGCCTTGCCCACGAGGCGCGGCAGGTGTTTCCACCAGCTCTTCCCATACAGGAAAGTCTGGATTACCGTATGTCTCAGTACAATTTTTGAATAGGTCACGCAATGCCTGGAGTGCAGGATGTTTCTCGTGGATGGCCTCTTTGGTGAAATCTGGAAGCTCCGCAATACTATCTTTCAAGATGTTCTGGTATACTTTGGAGATCCATTGAACGATGCCTGTGGTCGACTCCTCGATAGTCTCTGGGTCGAGGTAATGTACCAACTTTTTGAAGAAATGATCTGTACTGCAATTTGGTAAGTCACGTGCACATTTGTGGGTGTGATCGTAATTCAATTGGTATGACTCTGCATTCCATGCTTTCGATCCAAATCGAATCTCAAATTGTAAATGCGATTGTGTTTTGTCCATTACAATTCTGTCCGCGCCACTGTGTATCTCGATGATCTGTTTCATCTTGATCATAGGCGAATCCACCAGCAGCTCCGATGTCCAACAATATACACGGCAGTCTTCTGACTGTCTAATCCATCTTGAATCCTCGTCGGGGTCGTAATCTGGATGGTTAAGGAAGTCCGATGGCGGGTCAATGATGTTGTCGAGTATGCTCGCCTCAATCTGCTCATCTGCTTGAATGTCTGCTGAGAGGTCTGCTCTCATGTTGTCGTTCGCTGCTTTTTCGTCAGCGGTGAGCGATATGGTCGATATGTCCACGATCACAGCGACCAAAGGATCAGTCGATGATCCTGCATGCTGTCGAGGTTTGTCGCCCGTGTGAGCGTTGTCCTCGGCAGGTGTGGCCACCAGCTCGTCAGGATCGGGTGTCCGAGGAGCGGGCCTTTTGGTCGGTGTGCGCGGAATACGTGGTCTGTAAATACTCGGCATACCAAGGTATGGTAAACTGCCATCGTTCTTGTGCTGGGGTATCTTGTCGCTGCATGATGTTGGGCCTTTCAGGACGGTCTCCATATATGTTGGGTCAATAGCGTGTTCTCCGATACGAATCGGTAATGCAAAGACAACGCCCTTGAGGGGCATACTTTTGTCATTGTACCATATGTTTACCCATCGTAGACCGTAGTTGGGAATAGGTACTTGTACCGCGAAGAACTTGTCGAAGATACCGAAATGGATGATTGGACCGTATATGTGTCCCTTGGTCAAGGCAATTTTGGTATTGTGATTGCCCTTGGGCCAGTATTGTCGTAATAAAATCATTTGATAGAGCCCCAACTCTTGACGACAATGAAGTCTCCCATTCGAACATCATTAAATGCAGGGCGACGGTCCCAATCTGTTTGCGTAATCTTTGATGTGATCGGCCGAAGAGCTTCGCGACAGTATGACAAGGCAATTAACCATTCTTTATCATCTGCTTTGCGATTGGTCTCCCGAATCATAGCGCGGACGATTTGTTCATCCAAGGCGTCGTCTGCAGATGTACGGCTAGCAGGGGTTTCCCCCAGCTGGACCGAAGGTGCTGATACTGACGTTGTCCTTGGAGGCTCCATGTTCTGGTCGGGGTCGACAGGTGCTATTCCAGGAGGGTCGTCGATGAGCTCTCCAGAAAGGCAGGCGCAAATCTCGTACTTGCTCAATGGCGGTCTTGCTGCCGATGGCGGGTAGTCCCATGGGTCGCCATCTGGCCATAACTGCTGGCCAGTCATGTGGTGTGGTTTGAGGCGGCGAATTGCGATAATTGCCGCAGCGGGTACCACGTCCTCTGTCATGATAGCGCCCTGAGAACCCAGCCAAAACCTGCAACCTGTTTTTGTGGCGATCTCCATGTTGATCACCAACTCGACCTCGTTCTTGTAGTGATTGAACGTGTAGGATTCCACTGAAGTATGTGGATTTTTCTGCACATTGTCCAAATATGTGCTGGAACTAAAGAATGCCTCAGAGCGCTGTGATGGTTTATGATGCTTGTCTCTCTGAGAAGATGGATCAATGTATCCAGGAATGATCCCTGTCTTCAGTATGTTGCGCCAAGCGCGGGATGCTGTGCCGTGATGGAGATATTTAACATCTGTCCATTGTAGGCTCTCCCATCCCATATTCCATGGCTTGGAAGATGGGTTGACACAGCTGTGACCACCAACGCACCGAATAGCAATGACGCTGTTCCAATCAAAAGAACTGGGGTCACCTCCCTCAGGGATCGGCTTGGCATATATCTCGATTCTGTTTTTTCTGCGAATCAATATGTTCCTGGAACGCACGAATGCTGAATATCGGGTAGTAGTCGTTCCAATCGGCATATCCATCATTTTCACCATCTTTCTTGAAGTGTGCCACTGCCGCATCCATGGATGGTCCATTGTGTCTACCTTTGCGATCTCTGAATTTCCATTCGACCATCTCCTTAAAAGGATTTCCAATTGCTTGGAATCTTCCACTCATTCTTTGTTGTTTTCTCCCAGATATTGATACGTCTGTCATGTCATTGATTGACCCAAAACTTTTTGTAGTGGATCTCATGGCGTAACATAGTCGTTATGTCTTTGCTCATCCATTTGT